TTTCCTTAATTGGAAACATAATAAAACTAAAAAACACAATTGTTTTTGTTAAAAAGAAAGTGCTGATTATCGTACAAATCACCCGTACACAAATATTGTAAATATCGATACATATATCGAATTGTATCGTTTTCATCGAAATCGCATCGTATGGTAACACACATCGCAGATATATATTGACTGCGCTGAATATCAAAGTCGTACAATTGTTGTTGGCGCTTTATATTTGAAGGCAATAAAAAAAGACAAATATATAAAATGAAATAAGTCACTAATAAAAGAAGACGAGAACCACGAGGCAGTAGTTATACTTATATATATAGCACTATACGTAATTATTAAAAATCTAAAAATAAATATATATATATATATATATATATATATATATATATATATATATATATATATATATATATATATATATATATATATATATATATATATATATATATATATATATATATATATATATTCTTTGAAATGCATAGGTTTAATTACTTGTTATTTGTTATTATTGATCATTACTCTGTGGTTGGTGCTTTGATATGTTTTCTTGATTTGGGTAGATAAGAAAATGTGAACAATTATTGTGGGGCAATGTGATTAATTTACAAAATTGCCCCTAGTGGGTCATGATATAATTAAATGACATTTAAAATTGAAATGCACATGGAAATATTTATTTAGAACGTGCCACTTGGTGCATGTCAGCCTGGAAGCAATTTAATCATTTATAATTTATTACTTTTTTAGTTTCAAAATATTAATCTTGTTTTACAATAAGATATAGTTATATATTACGTTACATATTTAGTAATATCTAATTAGAAGAAGAAAGAAAAACACTAGTTAATAATATAACAACACGTAATACATGTATCTAATATAAAATATATATACTGTTATAAATTCGGCCAAGTGTACAAATTTTCTTTTGTCAGAAGCCACGTGGACATGAAAATTATGAATAATAGGGCAATTATGCTACACCTGGTGAATATAACCAGACACCCTAATTGATAAGATTCCCACTACGGGTTCAATTTTGCCCCATTGGATTTTAGAAATATAATTATAAAATAATTTAAAAAGGACACATGTCAATAAGAGAGCCACCCGGTGAAAATCACCGGGTGTAGCATCGTATTCCCCGAATAGTAGTATAATACTATATAATTTATCCGACGTAGAACATTTAATTTATGTGAAAATAAAATTAAATTTACATACTATTAAAAGTGAGAGTAGTTCAAAGCATTGTTATCGCATCGGAAAATATCATTGTATCGTTTTCTCGTACAATATCATTTGTCGTAACGTAAAATATTTTACTAATAATAAAAATACAATATCCATGTAAAAAATAATATTTTAAAGTCAAATTATTATTCAAAATATATCTAAATTGAAGTTCAAACATTAAATTATTAACTAAGACAAAAGATAGTTTTTAGAAATGCTATTGTCGGTTTTATTACTTATACTAATATAAATTGTTTTTGTTTTATGTGATGTTAAATAAACTTGTTGATTTTAATTGGTAGAGAAATAAAAATTCCCCGAAGTAGTTTCTTTTTCTGGCTTTCCTTAATTGGAAACATAATAAAACTAAAAAACACAATTGTTTTTGTTAAAAAGAAAGTGCTGATTATCGTACAAATCACCCGTACACAAATATTGTAAATATCGATACATATATCGAATTGTATCGTTTTCATCGAAATCGCATCGTATGGTAACACACATCGCAGATATATATTGACTGCGCTGAATATCAAAGTCGTACAATTGTTGTTGGCGCTTTATATTTGAAGGCAATAAAAAAAGACAAATATATAAAATGAAATAAGTCACTAATAAAAGAAGACGAGATCCACGTGGCAGTATATATACTATATATATATATATATATATATATATATATATATATATATATATATATATATATATATATATATATATATATATATATATATGACTGTTGATTTTTATCCACCAACCGACCCATTACCGATCATTTTTTTAGGCGGATAATCAATTTTAACCGACACATTGGATTGGGTCAAAAATTTCGACCAATCCAACTATAATGGGTTGGTTGGTGATTTCTAATATTATCAAAAATTGGTTGACCGATGATTATCGGTCATCCAACTATATTATTAAAATTTTATTAAAATATAAAAATAAAGTCCTTGTTTTCTTAAGTGATTATTGAAATTATCAAAATAATTAATATTTAAATTTTAAAAATAATCAACCAAAAAAGAAAAAAATGACCTAAATCTTCCACGAGTTTCTTTATGCCAAAACTTAAACAAAAAGCTCACAAAATTTCACTAAATCTCTTGTGCATGTATGAAATTATTTTGAATTTTCTAATTATATTTTTTCGTTAAATTGTTATTAATTATTTTGAACTTTGAAAAGATGATCGCACCGTAGCATTACGCAGAATGTGATATTTTTGCTCCAAATTTTGATTTTTTTAAGTGAACTAGGTGATAGATATAAATCATCAACCGACCCATTCTGGAATCAAATATTCGGTTGTCAACCATCAACCGACCCACAAAGGTTGGATCGGCAACTATTTTCAAATTTGAGCAAAAATGGTTTGATGAATGGGTCGATTTTTAGGCTGATAATTGACCTGCCCAACCCAATCCCAACCCTACATATATTGACTACATTTTCTTGTATTAATTGCTTCTTTCATTTTGAGGACTACTGTTTTATCCCAAACACACATATTAATATTATCAATCAGAATCCATCTTCCCCCAACCATGTCTGCAACAAATTCAAAGCTTCCCACCAAACAAATCCCCGGCGATTACGGCCGGCGGTTCTTCGGCCCAATGAAGGACCGCCTGGACTATTTCTACGGCAGCGGCGAGCTCGAGTTCTTCAAAACCAGGATGCTAAAGTACCAGTCCACAGTTTTCCGGTGCAACATGCCGCCGGGCCCATTCATATCACGAAGCTCCGCCGTTGTCTGCCTCCTCGACGCCGTCAGCTTCCGTACACTCTTCGACAACTCCAAGGTTGAGAAGAGAAACCTCCTCGACGGCACTTACATGCCCACCACCGCCTACACCGGCGGCTTCCGCACCTGCGCTTTTCTCGACCCTTCCGAACCTAACCATGGACTTCTCAAATCCTTCTTTCTCTCTCTACTCTCTAAAAAAAAGGATAAATTCATCCCTATTTTCCGGCAGGCGATGGCCGATCTCTTCTCCGGCCTCGATGAGGAAATCGCTTCCAATGGCAGTTCATACTTCAACGATTTGAACGATACGATGTCGTTTCAGTTCGTTTTCCGTCTGCTCTGCGACAAAAATCCGTCGGAAACCGGAATCGGGCCCAACGGCCCGAAAATTGTTGATTTGTGGATTTTCTTCCAGCTTGCTCCATTGCTCAGTTTAGGGCTGAAATTCCTCCCGAACTTTCTAGAAGATCTGCTTTTACACACAGTGCCGCTGCCTTCCTTCCTCGTGAAATCGAAATACAAAAAGCTTTACGACGCCGTTTACGAATCCGCCGCCCCAATTTTGGACGAAGCTGAGAAATTAGGGCTCCAAAGAGACGAAGCTTGCCACAATCTGGTGTTCTTCGCCGGATTCAACGCCTACGGCGGGATGAAAGCTCTGTTCCCGTCACTGATCAAGTGGATCGCCGCCGCAGGCGGCGATCTCCACCGCCGCCTCGCCGGAGAAATCAGATCCGCCGTGAAGGAGAACGGCGTCACACTCGCGGCGGTCAACGCGATGGCGCTGACCAAGTCGGTCGTGTACGAAGCCCTGCGAATCGAGCCGCCGGTATCCTACCAGTACGGCAAGGCCAAACACGACTTCGAAATCCATAACCACGACTCGACATTCTCGATCAAGAGGGGGGAAATGCTGTTCGGATTCCAGCCAATCGCGACAAAGGATCCGAAGGTGTTCGACAATCCCGACGAGTTCGTGCCGGAGAGATTCGTCGGAGAAGGAGAGAAGCTGATAGAGTACGTGTACTGGTCCAACGGGAGAGAGACCGACGAACCGACCGCGGGGGACAAGCAATGCGCCGGCAAGGATATGGTTGTGCTCTTGTGCCGCCTAATGGTGGTGGAGTTTTTTCTCCGGTACGATACTTTTAAGGTCCAAATCGGTAAACTTCCGGTGGGATCGTCGGTTACGTTCACGTCGTTAACGAAGGCCACTAGTTAAAATCGTGATTCGGCCGTTAATTAGTATAAATTTCGTAACCAATAATTGATGTTGATAGCATCTTCCGTCCGTCACTGTGTGTGTATGTGTGTGTGCGTTGTTTACGTGCTTTAAGTGTATAATAAATATGGAGTAAACTGCAAAAAGTACCCCTGTGTAATCTTTAAATAGCAAAAATACTCCTATGATAAATAAACTAGCAAAAATTCCCCGGTGAAATTTAGTCAAAGGCAAAACCCGCCCCGGTTGACTTAAGTGTGGCTCACTCGCGGGTTGCGCGATTGGTAGTTAGTTTTTGGACGTGAAATGACGAAATTGATCCTAAAATGTATTTATATGTATATATATATTCCTTTTAATTTGATTGTTTAGAAATTAAAATATTATTAAAAAATAATAAATAATTAAATTTAAAAATTATTAAAAATTTGTTAATCAAATTAAGTATAGATTTTTTAAATCATAATAATGTAATTTAAGTTTTTTTTTTCATCTAGCGATAATTTAAAATATATACAAAAATTATGTGATAATAAAAATAAAAATAAATTAAAGATCCCATTTACCTTTATAATTAAGATATAACAAAAATAAAATAATTAAAATAAAAATAAATTAAAGATCTCATTAATAGTAAGTTTGTATTGATGGTCACAGACATTTGGGGTCCAAATTTAGCAAGAAAATATTAACAATAAAAAAATTTAGCAACTTCTCAAATTAATTATAATTTGGATATTCAATAAAATATTAACAAAAAAAAATGTTGTATTTCGTGATCTATATAATAATTTATTAACTATGTATCAATTATTTAGAAATTGTTAGCGAAGTATTTAAAAATATTAAAAATATACACAATCTTAAAATAAACACATATTTTTACTCAATTAATAGTGACTATTATTGCAAGGAGAAAATTTTTGTTACAAAGTTTTGGACCAATAATTTGATATGAGCCTTTCAAGAACAGGCTTTTCTATTTTGATTAAAAATTACATATACTAATGGGCCATACCAAATTGTAATGTGAATATATATTAAACCATTAACATAAATGGGTGACATATGGTACCAATTTCCATATATCTGCCAGCCCATTAAGATATATGAAGATGTGATTTTTAATATTTATTTTTGATCGAACTGATTCATTCATATTAGGGGTAAACTGTAAACAAGTCGGACCCTTCACTCCGTTGAACTCGTCGAACACGAGAACAATTGTACTATTGGAATCGGACGGATACATTTCCCGTCACGAAATATAAAACTACGTCATTCTATTTATATTATGTAGTATACTAAAATTAATAATATATAACACGTAAATAATGTATGCCTTGTATGTTAAAACTTATATCTAAAATAAGTACCGAAACTTCTATGAAACACGAAAACCTTAATTGAATTTATGTGGCTTCTATATTTTGCTGCCAGCAGATATAAAACTTCCATAGCAAAGATGACCCTCACAAACAATTTAAGTGTCATTTTCCTTATGTTTGGTAACTTGTCAATTTTATTTTAAGAATCATGGTTGATTTTGTAATGCATTATTACCACGTTTATTATATGTATAGATCTATAAGATGAAGATTCATATATATCAAATTTTATTTAAAAAAAAACATGGCATATATATATAACACATGAAATAAAACAAATACATAGAAACACAATTACATCAACACCCGTAATTTGTAGTTTTATTACATAACACCCTTTTGTAGGAGATTGATGTAAGATATTTAATTTACAAAGTGTAGGAGGCTGAATGTAACTAATAGAAAGAAGATGTTTTTTATAATTACACTTTACTTCAGGGAGGTAACCGTAATTTACCGAAAAACCATACACTTGTGAGATTTGGATTCATCTTTGCTTTTTGAGCCGCCATTAGGTATATGGAACTCGGACATGAAGAATAATTAAGTGAGTCATACTCATAATACTGGTTTTGTTCCACTAATTATGATTAATTATATAATTAACCTTTAATACTCCACCCACGTGTCATTCAGCATGATATATCTACAAGGTAGCTAGCTACTAATTAATTAGTTTGAGATTTGTCAATATTGTTTGGTACAATATAATTAGTGCACGCAAATAATTTTCTTACTTTTCAGATTCAATGAAAACATTTATTAAAGGCATGTCATAAAATAGATATCCTTTTTTTAGTATGAATAATCTTTTTTTAATGCAGTATATAAATTTGAGGGCAAATTACGGACACCCTTTCGAGGTAAGGTTGAATTACGAAGAAACCCTTCATGTTTGGATAGTTACAAATATTCAATTATGAATCTTCTTACGCGTCCACCTTTGCGGTGTCAAATTTATTTAGTGAAATCTTTCAAATTATGTCGAATATTCTACAGTTTGTGTTGGGTTTTTAAATAAAAATAATATTTTATTGAATATTTTCTTTGACCAATTTATGAGGTCATTTAGAGCAATATTTTGAAACCACCAAAGACTTTATTTTGTCTCATAAAACCTCAATATTTTTCCTTTAATTCTATATTAAATATAGGTTTTATGGTGGTCATATTTTATACTATATAAAGGTGGCTTTGTAGCTTTGTAAAGAAGAAAGTGAGAAGAGAAAAAGAAACACTTTTCTTCTATACTATACACTTATATTTTGAGCTCTTGTTGTGTGTCGGGTGTAAGCTTCTACTTCACTCGAATGTGCAATTTCGGTGAAGTTACAGCGGAGAGATAGGCTGGGCTGTTGTATCCCATAGGCGACACGATCGGAACCTTTTTGCACCTCATTAGAGAAGGGGTCGTGAAATTCGTCTTAAGAGAGCGACCTAGTCCGCGCCTCACCTTGCCTATCTCCATATTATCGTGGCTTTTATTGCAGCAACTTGTTACCTATAAAATTGGAGAACAAATGGAGTCCAAGCCTCAATCCACAAGTTTCGTGATCGTTCGTCAAAGTGCAGCCGTGGTTCCAACAATTTAAGACGAATCATTTTTTGATCCCATGAAGATGAGCTTTGACGATTATCCAAAAGAGCAACCCTTGATGATGAAAAGGGAGATGATTCATTTTTATTTATTATCTAGTGTTGACTAAACAAAATTAACGATCTTATTTTTGTGTAGGTGAATTTTCGTACAATTCACGAGTGCAGACTTTGAGTCAAATTTACGACCTTATATAATCATAATTTGAGGATGCGTAAAACACGAAAGTTGTAGGGATTTCGGTTGGCTGTCCGAAACAACTTGAATCGCTGAAATTGGACATCGAACGAGAGAGATATGCTACAAATACTGAGCATTGCCAAAGCTGTCAATTACGCGCAATTTTTTGACGAATAAAGAACATATAGGGTTCGACAAAGTTGATAATTAAAATTCATCAGATCTGGTATGTTCTTATTTTACACCGACTAATTATGATATTTTTTTAATGAAATTGCATGTGGTAATGATTTGACATGTGAAAATTGAAATTTATAAGTAGTCTATTTTTGTTCATAAAAACTGATACACGTATTATGATTATATAAATTATTGATATTACATATAATCTCTATGGATCATCATACTTTGATTAATTAGCATCGCAATATGATAATTAGAATTCTTGTCAGAGGTTATAAATATTTATGCTGCTTAATTGCGTAATTAATATTTATTAGAAATATAATTGACCACTTAGTCATATCTGAGAGTTATCATTGTTGCTCGTATGTGCTAAGCGGCTAGCATTCTTAGGGCATCTCCAATGGAGTAAGCAAATCGGGTCTCCAAATTCGTATTTGGAGACCCGTATAGAGACCCGGTACGGTGGAATCTTAGAGTCTCTAAAAAATAAAATCTCACAGTGGAGGGCTCTATAATTTTGAGTTCCTAAACAAAGTCACATGAAATACACATGAGTCTCCAAACAAAGTCCTATATTTAGGAACAAGTTTGGAGATTATGCAAAAATCTGAAAATTTAGAGCCCCACTAAATTTCTTGTTGGTGTTGAATTTTTTTCCACAATTTCTATATTTTGAAGACAAATAGAGTTTGCTTACTCCATTGGAGATGCCCTTAGTCAACGAACTAATCTATTTGTCCAAGTCCATTGATGAGAAAAGCTCTTTGTGTGTATAGTTGAGGTTTCCTTTTAACGATAAAATGTTTTTTTTTAATATTTTAATCAGTTTTTCAATTTCTCTGTTGTGACCGTCTATATCTCAAATTACTGTTAAATCAAAAGGGATTTTTAATTTATTTTTTGAATAATGAGAAGATTGTTTTCTCTAATATTCTCGGTCTAAGGAGATCACCTGCCAATTAATTATTTCACAAGCGGCTTCAGTTATAAAATTGATTTTATACTACTTTATAGGTATGACCGTATGAGTAATTATTTGATTAATGTGTGCTTAATTGCATTTAATCTTTGATGTTACCGTTAGTGCATTATTACCCAATGAATTGTCCTTTATGCATTGATTAAATTTAATTAATATATTATTTTTTGAAAAAAAAATAACCGATTAAATTGACGATCTGTGGGGGTAATGGTAGTTATCTCTAATTGAGAATTGAACATGATCATAATTATTGAAATGTATCTTGATTCATGATTCATTATGTGGAGTTAATATTGTATGTGTTTAAATATCTTATATGTTGATCAATATGCTTTTAATATCGAGAAATAGTGGGGGTATTAGTAATAAATTTTAATTGCGAAAATAAGCATGATCAGAGTTAATACATTCTATCTTGATTCATGATTCATTGGTATGCTTTTTAGCATTGAGAAATAGTGGGGGTTTTAGTGTCTACTTGAATGAGCATGTTATAATTGATTTTAACGTGATTTTTGTTTAAATTGCTCACTTTATGATTGCAAATTTGTATAGTGATAATGTGTAAATTATGCTTTATTTGCAATCTTGATTATACAAGTAACTATCATAGGCCTAAATTTGCATATATGTGACATTGATGTGATTTACAAAGGCCTAATTGTGATTGTTAAATTTGCTGAAAATAAATTTGTGAGTTGTGAAGTGAAACGTTTTTTGAAAGTTTCAATATTGTTGATTATTGAAAATCTAAATAAGAGGAATTATATTCCTATTTGATTAGAGGTATCACATTGTGCGAATGACTATTTGTTTATAATTTAAAAGTCAAAATTCATATCAATTTTGATTGATTATTTTGACATTAGCCTGTGAGGAGGCCGGTTGATACCGAATGTGGTATATAAAATCCTAATGTGGGATAAATCAATGCTTTGTGATTTGATAAATATGATTGAGAATAAATCAAATGCTTTGTGCTTTGATAAATATGATTGAGAAAAATCAAATGCTTTGTGCTTT